TTTCTTTCTCTCCTCTCCTCTCCTCTCCTCTCCTCTCCTCTCCTTTTTCTTTCCTTTTTCCTTTCCTTTCCTTTCCTTCTCCACTGAGAACAGATTTGGGGCCTGCTGACAAGGAGTGGCTATCTCAGAAGCCAGGATCATAGTAAATCAGTCAGAATGAAAGAGGAGGTGTATTGTTGCCTCTTCAAAGACAACAGTTCATCTGTGTATCTCTTGCCAACATTTAAACTTTTAGAATCAAGTATTTCCAGGCATATTTTTTTTTTTGTAATTTAAAGCATTCAAACAATTAGCTAAGGTCTTTCTTTCTTTCTTTCTTTCTTTCTTTCTTTTTTAAATAGCTCTTATTTAGTGTAATATGTTTTTTATTCTTTATTTAAGATGAAGACTAACCAATATAATATACCCATGTGAGCTAATGAACAATTAATTACATAATGTAGTTGAGGGGAGTAGTTATACTAACACCTTGGCAAACATTTACTGTGTACCAAGCCCTTTACCTGCATTTTCTCAGGGAATCTACACAGCAGCTGGATAAAGTAAGCACTACTATTAACTATGTAATAATCAAGGAAACTGAGACTTGAATGCATTCATTGTTTGAAATATACAGCTAGAAGATACCCTGTCAAGATTTGGACTCCAATCTTTTTGGTTTCTAGTGTTTTCTTGCATAATCACTTGTTTCTCAGTAAAAATGCCAAGATAAATGTAGGTGAAGAAATGAACACAATACCACAAATTGGTTAGGGCTGAAAAAAGATACCTACAATGTAAGAAAGGAAAGGAATTCTTAATTAAGTTAAAGCAAATGTTAAGGTTCAAAGGATAGCTGTGTTTCCTGTAGATTTCTATACAACAGAGATTTGTTTGTATGGAAGTGTATAGCTCAATTCTGTGGGAAAGCTTAAAATAATAGAAGAAAGGAAAAATAATGGGAATTTAAAGATAATTCTATTATTATTTGTGCATTTGTTCCTATATGGAAATGGGTTCTACTCATACAATTTTAAGTTCATGGGTTGTTCATTTCTTAATTCTCATGGTTAAATATAGCCTAGCATTTGTCATTAAATTAATGCTTTACTTATACATGATGCCACTATTTCAGGATGTTTTCAAATGTTCTTTTCTCTCCATTTTCCTACAGGCCTGTCTGCCATGTTGCAGCCCTACCCCTCCTCTCTCGACGGAGGTTTGTGACAGTGTTATTAGTCAACTTGTAGTGATCAGGTTGAGAAAGGCCATATAACTCCCCCAAAGTGCAAAAGGAACAACAACAAACCATTCACAGGTAAAATCTCTCTCTCCTTTGGTTCTCAAAGCCTGGCATTTTAGGCCAGAGACTTTACATGTATGCATCAGCACAGAGACATAGAACCTGAGGACTGTGGCTAATACTTTTTAGTGTGTGGTTTCAGCTTCTTATCAAATTAAAAAAAATTTTTTTTTCCTCCTCTGCTGGTAGAGGAGAAGAAAAGAATGGTTAGAACATTAAGAAAAATTTAAAGTAATAGTCATTTGTAAAAATGAAACAATGCAGATGTGCCCTGTTCTCCCCTCTCATGCCACAGTCTCATTCTTCAGAGGGAGTCTACCTTAATGGTTCATAAATACCCTTCTAGACTTCTAAGCATAAACCAGCACAAGCTTGTAAGTTTCTTTTTATCACAAAAATGGAATCATACTGTACATCATTTGCAACTAGTTTTTCATTTACTCAAAGCTATGTGAGCCTCAAGCCTTTAAATGACTACATAGTATTAGATGATATGTGCAAAAATTTATTTTGTCATCACCTTTTTTATCCTAATTCAGGTTGTTTCCAGTTTTGCTATTAGAAACAAGGCTTAAATGAACATCCTCCTACTCTGATAGCTGGTGTAAATATTTCTATAGTGTAGATTTCTAAAAGTTCAATTACTGAGTGAAAGATACATGCATTTAACCCTTCCTGAAATATTTTCTTAATTGTTTGCTGCCAGAACAGTGTATAAGAGTCACCTGTTTTTGTCATATTCTCACCATCTGTACGTTATCAATCTTGAAAAATGTCAGTACAACATGTGGAGCATGGCATCTTAATATTTAAACTTATATCTCTTTTACTATTAATGAGGCTGAATATCTTCTGTGGATTGTTGGTTTATATCTTTTATTCATAGGTATTTTGGGCTATTATCTTTTTATTCTGGATATACAAGCATTTTATACATATATATATACTTATCAGTTAAATGTGTAAATCTTCTCTCCTAATCTGTCAGTTGAAGAATTATTTATTTAACATCTTTTACTTTTTCCTATCCATTCTCCATGAGCATGTTACTCAGTAGTAAAATAACAAAATATTAAGCAGCAGGACTAAAAAGGGAGGAGAAATAAGCTATAAAGATAATCTGTATGTTGTACAACAAAGTTTTGAGTAAGTGAATTGATTGTGTCTATCTAACACCAAACTAGCTGGTGAGCTTGGTTAATTTAGTAAAATATGAGATAATAATCACAATTGTCTCATGAAGTTTTTTTCTTAGCTAGAATTAAAACTCCTGAGGTTAGGGGCATTGTCCTTCTCTATACTACTAGTGCTTAGCAGAGTGCCTGTTACCTAGGTGGCCCTCAGTAATGATTGACAAATAAATGGAGTAAAAGAGAACCAGATAAACCAGTGGTCTTCTGTCAGAAAATCAAAATGGAAGAAAGACCTCAATGTGAGACAGGAGTCCATCAAAATCCTAAAGGAGAACACAGGCAGCAACCTATTTGACCTCAGCTGAAGCAACTTCTTCCTAGAAACATCGCCAAAGGCAAGGGAAGCAAGGGCAAAAATGAACTATTGGGACTTCATCAAGATAAAAAGCTTCTGCAAAGCAAAGGAAACAGTCAACAAAACAAAAAGACAACCCACAGAATGGGAGAAGATATTTGCAAATGACACTACAGATGAAGGGCTGGTATCCAAGATCTGTAAAGAACTTCTCAAACTCAACACCCAAAAAACAAATAATCAAGTCAAAAAATGGGCAGAAGACATGAACAGACACTCCTCCAAAGAAGACATACAGATGGCTAACAGACACATGAAAAAATATTCATCATCATTAGCCATCAGGGAAATTCAAATCAAAACCACACTGAGATACCACCTTACACCAGTTAGAATGGCCAAAATTAACAAGACAGGAAACAACAAGTGTTGGTGAGGTTGTGGAGAAAGGGGAACCCTCTTATACTGTTGGTGGGAATGCAAGCTGGTGTGGCCACTATAGAAAACAGTATGGAGGTTCCTCAAGAAGTTAAAAATAGAGCTACCCTATGACTCAGCAATTGTACTACTAGGTATTTACCCCAAAGATACAGATGTAGTAAAAAGAAGGGGAACATGCATCTCAATGTTCATAGCAGCAATGTCCACAATAGCCAACCTATGGAAGGAACTTAGATATCCTTCAACAGACAAATGGATAAAGAAGAGGTGGTACATATATACAATGGAATATTACTCAGCCATCAGAAAGGATGAATACCCACCATTTGCACTGACATGGATGGAACTGGAGGAGATTATGCTAAGTAAAATAAGTCAAGCAGAGAGAGTCAATTATCATATGGTTTCACTTATTTGTGGAACATAAGGAATAGCATGGAGGACATTAGGAGAAGGAAGGGAAAAATGAAGGGGGGGAAATCGGAGGGAGAGATGAACCATGAGTGACTATGGACTCTGAGAAACAAACTGAGGGTTTTAGAGGGGAGGGAGGTGGGGGGATGGGTTAGTCCGGTGATGGGTATTAAGGAGGGCACATACTGCATGGAGCACTGGGTGTTATACGAAAACAATGAATCATGGATCACTACAACAAAAACTAATCATGTATGGTGACTAACATAATAAAATAAAATAAAAAAAAAAAGAAACCATAGCAATGCATTCTTTTAATGACTTTTAAACATTGGTAGTAGATATCATACTCATATAGCCAATATGATGTTTTAAGCCTATAATTCTTAGGTAGATGCATTTTTACCATTTTTTGCCAGTTTTAAGTAAGATTTTTTTGTAATATAAATTTGTAAGTCACTTTAAACATATCTGACTGCTTTGCTACCAGGTACTAACATTAATCCTTGTAATTGCCATTTAAAAGCATTACATTTTAGGGATGCCTGGGTGGCTCAATCGGTTAAGCATATGTCTTTGGCTCAGAATCCCAGGATGCTGGGATGGAGCCCGAGCCCCAAGTGTCCTGAGTGTGGGGCTCCCTGCTCAGTGGGGAGTCTGCTTCTTCCTCTCTTTCTGCCCCCACCCCCCCCGCTTGCATGTGCTCTCTTTCTCTCTCTCTCTCTCAAATAAATAAATAAAACCTTAAAAAAATAAAACTATTACCTTTTAAATGCAAACATCCATATGGAATTCAAAGCAACTTAATACTAAGTGGATAGAACTCTTTTATTGACTTATTTTATTCTTCTGAGAAAACACTGGCATAGAGAAATGATGATTCAGGTGCCTGTGAAACATCATGAAGGTATTACCACACTGGAGAAAACCTACGTTTTCCTTAGAAAGAAAGTGGTTTTGTTATTCCAGGGCCCACTTTTAGTTTCTTCTCCCTCATGATTCATGACATATCCTCAAAGGACATTAGTGACAGTCCTTGAACCTATAAATTATAGGTTGACCACTCTTGGCTTTTACTTTAGAAAGGGCAGTAGCAAAAGTCTTTAGTAAGTCAGCTTGATTGATGAAAATTTGGAAAAATTGCTGGTCTAACATTAACCACTTCAAAATAAAGTCAGGTAGTCAGGACTGTGCTATTATTCCTATGGCATTTAGCTTTGTTTGAAATGCCTGAACGTGTCGTTCTGTTCATCCAGAAATGTTTACTGAGCATCTACTATATGCCAGATGGTGCGCTAGGTCCTAGAGATTAAAGGCAATTAAGACAAAACATTGCTTTCCAAGGTTTCATGGTTTTACATACTGCATGGAGCACTGGGTATTATATGAAAACAATGAATCGTGGATCACTACATCAAAGACTAATGATGTGATGTATGGTCATTAACATAACATAATAAAATAAAAACAAATTAAAAAAAGTAAAACAGTGAAGGAAAACAGAAAAAAACTAATGATGTATTGTATGGTGACTAACATAATAAAATAAAATTAAAAAAAAGTAATAGTAGCTTTACTGTTTTCATTAATGGTAAATAACATATTCAAATCAATTCCAAGAATAGACATAGATGCATATTAGGATATGGCCAGTTATTGTTCATCCACTGCAATAGGATGGTGCTGTATAGGAAGGACAGAAATCTGAAATTAGATCCAATAATTGGAGTGGAGCACGTGTTTGGGGTACAAAAAGAGTTGCAGGTGCTGGGAGGAAATCCAGCCTATGAGGCAAAAATGATATCTGAAATCTCTGGCAGTAAGTAGACACATGGCTGTTTCTGGAGAGTCTAACACAGTGATCAGTGAGAACATGCAGTGAGAGATAATTCAAGATCAATAATCTCACATGTCTGGGCAGGTAGGCATTTGGCATCCAAGAAGTTTGCCAGCAAATCTTGAAGTGAGAAAGGCATGGTTTCAAAGTTGGATTGTAGGGGAAAGTTTAATCCTGGTCAGATGGAAAGGGAAAAGGGCGGAAAGAGTGTGGCATATTTCTAGTTCTAAGAATATTTTTAAGGTAGATAGTGAGTCATAATAGAACAAGGCAGAAAGCTGGTTAGGCAAACTGGGGCAAACATACCTCTAGGGGGAGCCTATGGCTCTTTTCTATTCTTGTACCCTCCACATGTCCCCAAACTCCCAGCTTCCAGACTGTGTACGTGTTTCCCCCTTAAGGAGGAATGCTGTCGGGGATAGAACAAATTTAAGGGGCCTCGTCAGATCATAGTATTAGAAAGTAGAACTTTCAAAAGGATTAAGAACAGAACACAGATGGGCATGGATTCTCTTGTTTTTTCCTTCCAGAAATAATTAAGCATGAGTTTGTTCAAATTATCTGTGGCCATTTATTTTTCTCTTTTCAGATGCTTTTCTTTTCCCACAGGCCTGGAAGTAACTCCTTTTTGGAAACTGCACTCCCAGTTCCTCTTTCCAACAGCTGCCCCCATCAGCCATGGAGAGGCACAGTGGAGAATGCTTCCTATCTCTCCCTTGCTCCTTTACATCTATATCTGGGGTATGTGGACTCTGGATTGGCATTTTCTCTCTTTGGAGGGACACGGGGTCAAGCAATGTTGAGGAAGCAGCTTTTTCTCAAGTTTTGGTT